CTCTGATGCCCTGGTTTCATCTGTTTGTGTCTCTAAAGCAAACAGTTAACATGAAAACTACAGCCCTGTCTGACTGCCTCAAACTCTCCATCCTGTTCACACTTCCCCCTGCTCCCTTTAAAAAGCACGTCTTAAGGTGAGCCTTGGGAACAGCGAGCATCCCAGTGGGGCACGTCAGGATCCAGGGAAGTGACTGGTGTCTGCTCACCTTCAGTTTCTGCTCCCCAGTGCCACTGGACACAGCTGGAGGGAATCAGGGGTAGCCATTAAAACAGAGAGAAGGTGATTTAAGGGAGCTCCTACCACCCAGGGCTTTTCCTGCTAGTTCTGGAGAATTCGCTGGTCTGACTGCTGGGAACAGTAGCGTGAGTGCTATGACTGGGTATTTGCTTGCATCTCCAAAGTGAAATGAAATCTTGAGGAATGTATTCAATGCTGAATATCTATTTTGTTTAATAGAACCACATCCTTCTCAGTGCAGGTGAGCGTTTTGCTTCATTTACAGCATGAGTCAAGTGTTGTTTGTAATTATAATAACTGTTGCCACTCTTTTCTTTACCCACTCTTGGGTAAACTTTAAACTTCACTTGTTTGAGATGAGAGATTTGATTCTTGTCTCAGTTTATGTGAACAAGTTAATTTCTCAGCTTCTAGAAAACATACATTGAAGCGCATTCTGCATCTGGCCTGCTTTGTCAATCACTAATGGCATTGTGCTTAGTCAACTAGAGTGCTAAAATCTTCAGGATAGGTGAGAGTAATCTTAATTTTAGATATTAAATACTTCGAGGCTGAAGTCTGACCTACTCACCCCGGGCTCCTTCTAGAGTCAATGATGAAAATAGGTATCTCCAGAAGGTGATTCATCTCTCTGCCGTCTGTCTCGGGGGTGAGATGAATTGCCCTCTGGAAGCGCCTGCTTCCTCTCCATGGCTGTAAAGGAAGCCTAGAGCAATTGGCTCAGAATTAGACACCTAAAAGTTAGACATCTAAGCCCAGGCAGCTGAATCCCCTGCCTGGTGTCTGCCTGGCACTGTTCCTCCATCACCGTTCAGCTGTTCTGAATTTCCCTCCCAAATGCACGCGGCAGAAAACTGGTTCCCTGTGGGAATTCCCCAACACCTGTTAAAGATTGAAATCGCCTTCTAGTTCCCTATCCCTTCTGTGCAGCTGAGATCAAACTGTGAGGTGAATTAAGTGTGTTGTTGGATGGGAAGGGGGATAAGGTCAACCTTCTGGTTGCAGCCCTGTTTTTGTCGTCGGGCGAAAAGCCACGGGCAGCTGTCACTCCCAGTGGGTGACATCTGCATGTTGCTGCATGCGTTTGTCTTGTGAAGATGAAGGCACACTGCAATATTGCTTTTACTTTTCTCCCATTGCAGCACTTTTATCCTCAAGTGCCGGACTGGCTCAGCAGCTTCCAGTGGGAATCATGTTGGTTCTGATAGAGCACTTGTCTTTGGTTTTCAGAGCAAACAGCACGTTCCAGGCAGGGGGAACAGCAGCGGGTGGGGGGAAGCGTCCGGAACTGCTCTGCTGCTCCCATCCCCAGAGAAACCTCCCCAGGCAAACTCGCACCAGATCTGATGCCAGTGCTATGCAAAACAGCTGCCAGGTGAACCAAGGAGAGCAGCCCAGGCCTTGTCTGCAGTGCTGTGGGGAGCCAGCTGAGCTTATCGCTGCCTTTTCCCCCCTGTCCAGAACACCCATAAAGAGGGGAAAGAAGGCTTGTTTGATGGTGAAGCTCCTGGGAACCGTAGTGCAACAGGCTCAAAGCAATCTTTCTCCATTTAAATCCCAGGGCTTCTCCAGTTTGATGCAATTTAAGGAGGGGAGGACTGTGTCTAGCAGACACTGGAGACTTTGGATCCCAGTGTGTCTGGCTGGTGCAGCAAGAGGCAAGTTGTTGGCTGATGCAAAACTCCATTAAAATTAGTGAAGTTCTGGCAGTTTACAGCAGCTGAGAATCTGCTGCCACTTACACTTTTCTTTCTTTTTATCTCCTGGAGCTAGAAAAGATTAAATCTTCAGTGCAGATCCTTGTTGTTTGAACAGCCCATTCCTTTAAGGAGAGAAATTACTACTTCAGTGTGAGTCCTGATGTTGATAGAAACTGGGAGGAAACTGAGTCTATTTTTAAAATATTTGTAGGAAAGTTACTGATTTAACTGAAAGAGGAGAGTTGTTATCCCTATCACAACTAAACTTTGACTTGCAGCTGGAATCATTTGAATTTTACTTATACACAAGCTTTTATTGAAATAGAAAAAAGATGAGATTTATTTGCAAATAAATCTGTACACAAACACTCAGTGGTCCTGCAGAAAAGTTGAAGAGATTTGTGTATCCAGCTCCCATTTACATAACCACTGGGAGAAGATATCACCTCACCCAGTTTTAAATATCTCACTATTGGACATCTAAGTCAGAACTAGTTGCCCCTGGGTCCCTTTGTAGTCAATAAAGAGATATAGTCATCTCCAGAGGGCCATTCATCTCAGCTTAAGATAGGCGTCTAAGATAGGTCAGGTGAATGGCCTCTGGAGGTACCTATTTCTCCTCACTGTCTACCAGGACAGCCTGGGGCAGTTATCTCAGACTTAGATGCCCAAGCTATGTCTGAGTTAATGTCAATCTCCATGCATATTTGCAGGATGCTCCACTGTCACAAAATACCTGGCTGAGGTGCTCCTGAACGCCCCTCTTGATCTGCAGAGACGTGCAAGAGAACAGAGGGTAGGACTTGGAGGAATCGGTATCTGGACTTGTAGAAGAGGAAGGGAGAAAGATAGAGGTCTGTCAGCTGCATGTGCTTGTGCAGGGAGGAAAAATTGAGAGATGAGAAGCTTGGAAGAGGAGGATGGAGAACCTGGGCCTGGTGGTAGCGATGTGGAGTGATACTCTGTTCCAGCTGTGCATCTCAAGTTCCAAGTTTTGGGGTGTACGGTAGTGACTCAGAGCCACTGTCACTGGGACCTAGGGATTTCCCTCAAGGTCTTTGAATCTTACCTCATCAACATACTGCATTTGAACGTGAGGAAACTCTTGTATCCAAGAAACCAGAAGATAACCTTTTCCTTCCTGTTCTATTTTAGCAACTGGGAACTTTATTTCCTCCTTCTCTCCTCCTTGCCTTTCTCCCCTTTAGCTACTGCCTTTAGATTGCATCAACCCCCTGTGGGTTTCAAAGGTAGAAACTGCAGGCCTTTAAGATCCTCACACAGTCCTGCTCAGGTGTGCGGATACTGATTGTGATCATCTATTAACACTATCAGCATTCCCATCGTTATATGTGCAGTTGCTGGCTCTTGGGGCGTAGAGCTGGAACGCAATGAATGAACAAATTCCTCGGGCGGGAGCAGCTGGAGAGAGGTGGTCAGGGAGCAGATGGTTATAGCGAGAGGCACAGAAGCACATAGCAAGTTGGAGGTTGTAGCAGAGTAGAGAATTACATGGAAGAAGATAAAGTCCTGAGACTGGGAAGGGTAAAAGCTTTGAGAAGCAGGTTGGGAGGAAGGCAGCAAGCAAGGGCAGGATCTGGCACAGCAGAAATGCGACAGGCAGGGGGAGAAGGTGCAGAGCTGGATCTGGGTTAAGCTGCAGATGGTGAGAAGACAGAGGAGATTTCAGAGTGGGGAGCAACAGCTTGTTCTGCTGTGAAATAGTGCTCTGGTGCTGCTTGATAACAAAGACCTACAGCTCAGCCTAACAATGGCAACAAGGGCAGCTCGGTTTCCACAGTCAATGCTGTTAATGTGTTGCAGATTAAATCTCCAGAGCTGTTTCTAGATAGCAGAGAACAGGGTGCCATGAAATTGTTCTCATTGACTCTAAAATATTTTGCCATCTATGAATAACTGTACCAAGCATGCTCCTCCTGAGGATCTCAAAGAACCATGCTGATTCACCTGGGAATATTACGTGTATGGTGCAAGCTGAAAAACTGCATGCTAGGTTAGGGTAGAGGCTTGTTCAGTTGAAGAAAGCACATCAACAGGAGAGTTGGACTTGCACTCCTGCCTGCACAGCCTCTCTCAACTGCTCTCCAACTTTTTGCAAGAGAGACATGAACTACTGAAAAACATGATGTGTTGAAGCTTGATCAGATCACAGGGCACGGGCTATGCTTTATGGGGAACGTTATACTGGAAAAAAACAGGAGGAGGCAGCCCTGGGGGCTTCTGCCAGCGGGATGTGAACAATTCAAGACTATTTATCACAAACGCGGTTGGCCTGGAAGAGAATGACTTAGGGAATGGATCACAAAGGGAAGGCAAGGGGTTTCTTGGGGTTGCCTTTGCAACTAAAGAGGCTTCGTGGAATCCCTTAAAGCATTCATATCTGTGGAGCGTACAACCTTTCCTCTGTGATGTTCTTGATGAATTTGGCAGGTGTGATGAAGGGGGGGGGGGAATGTTTATCATCAAAGGGGAATGAGTGAGGGCCTGTGCGGTACCTTCAGGCTGAAACCTGTCTGATTTTCCCCCTATGCTTGCCAATCTCTTTTGGAATCAAGGAGACGCCTCTTGAGCACAACCCCACAGCACCCTCTGTTCCTTTAGATATCCCGTAATTACTCAGTGCCACACGGGTTCCTGAAGATCCCTGGTTAACAGCCTCGGCCACCTGTTTCCTAGCTTCTCCCACAGTTAGTTCTTGCTTTATGTACAGTGCCTTGGTCCTGGATTTCCCTGGAGATTTGTAACATCCTTCAGCTCACCTCTGCTGGAATCTCCCTTGCTCTCAGCGAGCTTTCCCCCACCCTTGCTGCTCGGCCAGGTATCTGCCAGGCAGAAGCACTTCTGTTACACTTCAGCAAAGGTTGATACCACCAAATGTTGCAAAAGCTGCCTTTATACTTCCATTGCTGCATTCGCATTGACTCCACCTTCCTCCTCCTCTCTTTGCACTTTGATTATGTGTGTTCTAAGTTCTGGAAAGTTTACATCAATGCTGACTGTCCTTAATACTGAGATATTTTTCTGTTTGTTTCATTGTAGGAAATGAACAGAATGGGCTGGACTTTAACAGGCAGGTAAGACGCTCCCTGGGTTACCAGGTCTTCTTCTGCTTTCTTCTATTACTGTTTTTTAATTGCTCATCTTGTTGAGTCCCAGACAGCTACTGCTAAGAGATAAAAACTGTTAGGTCAGAAGCTACCATTAAACAGACCACTTAAGTTCTTCCCAATGCCCTTGTGGGATAGAATGACAGATTAAACTTCTAGTTTCCAGGCCTTACTATTTCACAGAAGTTCAATTAATTATAGAGTTTCTTTAACTCACCCTTTGCTTGAAGCTTTTTCTGTTTGTGGGGTTTTTTCCCCGTTGTCATTTAGAAACAAAAGGGACCTCAGTTACATTGGCAAATGTGCAAATCCTGCCCCAAAGCCCTATGTACTTCTACTGCTTGTGACACTGGTGCTGAAAGCACTGTGGTATGCAAGCCTGAGAGCATGGGGCTGACTCACAGCAGTATCAGCAAGGACTGAAGATGAGGTGGTTTGAGGTCTTGGAGTGTGTAGGTCAAGACCAGGCCTGCCTACAACAGCAGATTCCTCTTTGTAAGACAGTGTGGAAAGGGACAGCAGATAAAAGCAAGTGTTTCTTGCGGGGCAAACAAGCCCGAATTGCAAATGAACATGTGAGGGACCATTGTCTTTGCTGTGTTTGCGGTCATGCTCCTGCTTCATACAGCTAAAAGCAACCCCTGTCCCACAGAGTGCCTGGAGATTTTCATACATGGCTCTAAGAAATCCCCAAATCTCACATCGAAATCGCAAGGGGAGGAAAGCGACAGCCCTCCAGAGCATATAGATCTTGACTCTGTAGGCACATGAGAAAATGCTCTCAGAGTCCAGAGCTAAGGACTCATGTGGCCAGCAGCGAAGCTGGACTCAGACCTTGTAAAGAAAAAGAGGTCTAGAGAGCTCGCTCATGGATCTGCTGCAGGACTCCGGGGGCTGGCCAGGGAGCTGGAGCAAAGAAAGCAAAAGGGGCTATAACTCCATGGGCAGTCACTAGTGTTTGAAGCAGGTGCTGGCACTCTTAACAGTACAGCAACCTGCCTGCTTCCAACTATGCGTTCCCCGAGTTCAAGGATGGTGGTCCTTTGCAGAGGCTCCCTGCTAGCAGCAGGTGGGCAGCTGAAACTTCTCGCCGTGACGTTTCTGGCCTTCAAGCTTGCCTTGGTGGCTCTTGCTTGACAGATGTCAGCAAACTGCTGTTTGTTTGGTTGGTTTGGCTGCTCTGGTTTTGGGTGGGTCGTAACTTCCTATCAAAGGTGTCTTAACATGTTCAGCCATCTTCCAGGTTTTTGGAATACCCAGCTGAAAGCAAAAAGTCTGGTGTCTCCAGCTCTGTGGAGTGCAGAGCCCAAATCACAGGCTTTCTACATGCCAAGAGAAGAATCCAATCTGCTTATAACTAGTGATAAAAGAAAATTCCCTCAAGATAGAAATAAGCTATGAAAATACAAGATCGTTACGCGTTGCAAACTTCCTATGGCTCCACCACAAAGATGTTAGAACTGGAAGCTGGGCTGAGGTTAATCAAGGAACCGTTATTGACTGTGGTGAAGCAATGCTGATTTACACCCACTGATGATTTGACCCATTATCTTTAAGGTCCTAGTCCTCTGCACATCACTGAATGAGGGGATGTTGGTAAAGTTGTGGAGGCAGACAGCCTCACAGTCAGTAGGATTTGGGCCAGAATCTGCTTGATAGAAACATCCTCCTCCCAAAAGCAGATTGTGGTTTTATGACAGACTTTTGTAGCATTCACTTCCCACTTCTGTTTTTCTCCTTCCACCAAAGGGTACCACAAAATCCCTTTCATTTGTGCCAGCAAATCTGTGTAACCAAGTAGCAAACCTGACTGGGGACTTACTAAGGTATAAAGAGCAGAAGCCTATGAACAAGCTCATTTTAATGTTTGTTTTTGGTTTTTTTTTTTTCTTTAATCTAGTCTGATTCCCCAGCACATGAGCAGTGTCTGGGTTTTGCAGGGCTGTCAGGGATGGGGTTCCAAGTCCGTGAGCGGACATGGGCGTGCGCAAACGGCTCATTGTCTCCCTCTCTTGGCCCTCGCAAGGCCACCTGTAGACTTCAGCCGTTGTTGTTCTTATTTTAAATGAGCCTGAGCCCAAATGCCCACGGGTTGTGCACTCACGTTTCAGGTTGACCTCAGCTATAGGTGAATTCATCTTCAATTCAGCGAATACATGTAAAATGACAAGAAAAAGGGAGAAGGGAGATATGGAAATATCAGGACGTTTTCATGTAAAATCAGATGCTGAGCTCTTTCATTAGGGGTTGAGGTTGGTGGGTTTTTTAATTTTGGTTTGGGGTTTGAGGTTGGTTTTGAGTGGCTTTTTTTTTTTTCTCATCTTGCAATTCAAGTTTTCAAACTGAAGCCAGAGAAGTATGGTTTGAAACCCAACTCCAAACCGAATGCAAGAGCTGCTGAGCTCTCTTTGACTTTATTTGGAGTGCTGGGCGCTAATCACTTTGAAGATCATAAATCTCACATCATTTAAGCCTCTCCCCCAGTCTTTGTAGATGGCCTACATTTCAGGTCTGTTTCCCTCCCATGTTACGCTCCAGGCGGGAAGAGAAGGGTGGAGTGACCTGGTTAGACCCCTTACTTGCCTACCAGTTCCCTGCTGTGACTGCTCTCACCCTGAAAATGGGGAGGAGGGAAACTCTTGTGGAGTTTGAGGTTTTCTCGCAGTTTGTGGGTCAGCCCTGCGCTTTATGAGAAAGCTGCCTTCTGATCCCTCAACCTATTTGGCAACTGTTTCTTCCCCCTCCCCTCTTCAAACTCTCCTCCCACCTGGATGCAACAGTAATTTGTATGTGAATGAGAGGGGAAAGGGTGTGTATGAAAAAAGAAGCATCTTCTCGCTTGCCTATCTGGTTTGGCTTTTTATTCAGTGAGTCTAATGCTGGTTGTTTCCTGTTTATATCAAGGGAAATGCAAAGAGACAGTAATAAACTTTCACCTTCAGTGCTGGCAACCCAGATAGGGACATCTGCTTCTTGATGGTTTGGGATCGTGTCCAGAGTGTGTCGGGGACAGAACTGAGTAACTCAGCAAGCGCTGCTACAGAGTCTTGCTACAAAAGGGCATCGAGTGGGACCGGGGGGAGGGCTGACTGAAAGTGTTGAAATCAGAACTTTTCCTCGCTGTAGTGTGGTGTTCCTCACTAGGTGATGCTGCTGCGGTCTTACCAAGTCTTGTTTGGTTTCTTTCCCAGTCGTATGCAGCGTTCAGCCTTTAAGGAAACACTGTGTTGTTTGTTTTTGTAAATGGCTCTGAAGAGAGCTGTTCTGGAGAGCCAAGTAATTCACCCTTTGTCTGGAGTTAATCCCTGAGATAATATTGCCTTCTGGAATACACACACAGAGCTAGGGCTGACGGTTTTCAGAGATGACAGGGCTTGTGTGCATGCTGTGAGTGTTGTAGCCCAGCACATAGTGCTGTGCATCAATCTGCAGCTGGAGGAGGAAAGTACACACATGTCACCTGTTGGTCCTTGCAGTAATGCAGTCTGTGAGTGCCAGCGAGGAAAGAAGGCTCAGACCTCCTCTCCTTCCAAAAGAGGGAACGAGAGGTCCTCTGCAAGCCCCTTGATGTTCTCAAGCACTGAGCTGCACTCCAGTGCTAGGAGAGAATGTCTCTCTTGAAATAAAGCTGAAAGGTTATCCATTACCAGTGCAGGGAAGGCTTAGCAGGACCCAAATGTGCTCTGTATCCTATTATGTCATGCAGTTTCATTCCAGCAAAAGGCTAACCTTGCAGACAGGCTGTCATCTGACTAATAATAATGACAGGTTTGATATTTCTATCAATGTAAAGGTGATCCTGCTGTGAGACTTTACAATATTTAAGACAGACAAGCAGGCACTAGTGTGCTGAGCAGCCCAGGGCTCAGCACAGCTTGAATTTTCCTGTTGGTTCTATACTCCTATTACTTTATTTTCTTTGTTTTACACCAATCAGGATGCAATAGGGATATATGTCTTTCCAACAGGCCTCCTAGAAGTAGGATCTTGCGATGAATTTAGCTGGGAAAAGGAGGTAGCTTAAAGATGTGTCGCTGGGGCGGGAGAGATCTTCAGAACACAAAGGGAAGCATCCAGAACAAACTAAGGAAATAAGATATGTAATTGAAGTGGCCTCATATTTCATATGCATCTGAGCTCCACACTTGTATTTTCACATCAGGCTGTACACATTGTCATCTTGACTGTTGCACATGACTGTAAGGGAAGCATTTAAAAATCCCTCTCTTCCAGTGGTCAGTCAGCACTAAATAATTGAGCTGCTTAAGATTCCCAGTCGATAGAACCTGAGTAAACTTTTTTGGCCAATTGAGCGTGTCTGCTAGTATGTCACAAAAGAGTGGTGAGGGACTGGGTCAGTTGAAAAATTCTTCCTTTCCAAAACCAAGTGAAGGATCCTCTGTGTTAACTGCTCTGCTCTCAGCAAGAGGAGCTTAAGGGGTTCCTCTCCTTCAGGACCTCCTTATCTAACTCATCTCCCTGTCCTGTTCGTATCTGATAGTGTCGTTGTCCAAAGGAACTTTAGTTTTTGAGGTTTATGTGGGGTTTTCAACAGTTGCTTTGAGGTAATAGAGTGAGTTGTCTCAGGTCTTCACAGCTGGTGTCCTGTAGACACATGATATGAGAAATTAAAGTGGGCAAACGGCATCTGAGATAAAGAATCACTGGTGGCTGTTTTTCAGTGCCACTAAGAACACTCTGACCTTGTTTGGTACTTTCCACCCACACGTCTGAAGGTACTTTGCTAATGAATTTAGTATCCTGGTGCCTCCAGAAGGTAGGGAGGTGTTTAACCCTGTCTTACAGATGAGGCAGACACAGACTGACTACCTGGCTTTTCCCAAAGATGCTGAGCACCATGACTGCAGTTGAAATCAGTGGATGGTTTATAGGACAGTTGCCTGTGGACATCGGGGCGTATTGTAATCCAGGGACCTGCTCCCTGGCAGAGCTAGGATATGGACTCC